CTCACCTTGCAATAGGGGTCATTTCCTTAATTGGGCCCTTGATTTGCCCAGCCATTTATAACCTTTTTTGTGTCATACAGGGGAGAATAGCACAATAATCAATATTAAAAAATTTTTCTGAACAGAGGTGAATGTAAAGTTTGACCCCCGTGCACTTGTTTGTGTGACCCGGAGAGAAGGAAATGCATTCTCATTTTTCCTCCTTCAAATCCTTTCCTCATCCTTATAAAATAGCACAAAATCAGTTCCGTCGCATTGTTGGAGGAAGCAGAAATACGGCACATTAGTGTAATTTTGTAGGCTGAATGGCTCTTTATTCCTTCTCAAAAAGAAAAGCTTTTTTTCTTAAACATGTCTTAATGCGAGTAATGTCGTCTTACGGTGACAGCACTTGTCCGACCTCCTTACCCTGACACGACGTGATTGGTTTTCTCTTGCGCTTTAAGGGTGTATTTATAGAAACGTTGCATTAAGCCTGTGCCGTGTTTTGTTTATTTGTTGCTTTTTTAGGTACAAGCATTTCTTGAGGGACTTGACAGAGAACACCGGTCCAGACAACCCAGAGTTTCAGCAGCTTTCAAGTAAGAGGCACCGCCATCTCGCAATTCGACAAACACTCTCTTATCCTGTTTGCGCTCTGTGACAAAAGTGTTGATGGGTTTAGCCTGTCTAGATTTCTTTTTCATTATCTGTTTATTGTCAGGATCTGTATCAAGCTGCGGAATCACATTCACCCAAAGTCACACTTGTTATGCTTGTCAAATTTGCTTTCCACTCTAGTTTGTCACTTACAGAGCAACCTAAAAAGAGATCACTCAATGTGTTTGTGATGATGAGGTGCTTTGCGGAGATAAGCTTTGCGGAGGATACCATGGCCTGTTGAAGAAGGTGCAAATGCTGAAATCGTTTCATACGGTGCCAAAACAAACCTGCGTCTTAAAGGGAAAAAAGTTTTTAAGCTGGCAGCCGAAAAGACAGCCTCCCTTGTCTTTGTTAGGGTGACAAAGAACAACTCTGGGCCCCTGTTGTAGCGCTCGCGTGTTGTTATTGTCACCGAGTGGCTTTGCTCACCGAGGATGAAAGTACGGCAAAGCTTAACGTGAGTCTAAATTCTCAATGTGGATTTCGACATAATTAATAGGGCCCAGATCAGAGGATATCATCCATGCAAAATATAAATAAATAAAATCTCCGGCATCAACAGAAGCCCCGATAATGACTCATTTCTAACGTCAAATAAACAGCAAATCCGACTTAAGAGCCAGTGTACACAAGGAATTATTTATGTGTATCAATTAAAATCTCATTGGTTGCTTGCTGCTTTTGCTTACAAATTAAAACAGCCCCTGATTCTAAGATGAAGGTACATATCCAGATTTGGCCCTCCATTGCCTCTTCCTCTTCTCATTAGAGCTCCTTTTTAAGTTCACTAGCTTTTTTTTTTGGAGAGGAAGAGAGAGAAATAGAAAAGGTTTCCTCAATCGGCCTGGGCATATTGTAAAGGGAATTATTTAAAAACAACCCCAGACAAATTATATTGTATCTGATTAAGCAAACTAGCAGTAAAACTCTCAAGAGGCTTTGTTGTTGTTTTCCAGTTTTCTTTGTTGATATTTTTTTTTCTCATCACACGTATGCAGCGAAACTCCACAGTTTTAATTATCATAATTGCGGCGTTCGTCAATTACTTGCATTTTGGAACGCTAACTTCTGTGTTTCCCTACAGCCAAGTATCTCCTGAACTTGTCCGCGAAGACTGTCAAAGGTTAATTAAAAAAAGTTAACACTCAAGAACTCCTCGGACCGAGTTCTGTTTAAACATACTGAATGTCTAAAATAAGAAGACTGAGAAAGTGTTCGTAGAATGTGGAATGAGATGGTATTAATAATGCATCAGCCGTAACTCTGTTGAAACACAATTATAAAGAGGGATTTCTTAAAAGGGAAGGACTGAGAGACGTACAGAGAGAGGCCCAGTCATCTCTAAACAGTCACTTTGTTTGGTTTTTGCTTGTAATTGTTCTAAAGATAAGCGACTCAATTAGGCTGTGATTATTTTACTATGAAGCAAACGCCCCAAGCGCTGTTCATTGTCTGAATTGTTATAGTCAATAAGACCAAAGCTGGGTTTAAAATTAGTATCCATCTGCTTGTTTGTGTTTCTTTTTTTCTTCTTAATGAGTTGATGATGTCTACATTAGTTAATGAATTCCTGGCACGGTAATTGGCAAAATGTTTTCTCAAAAATTTTAGTTGCAAACTAAAAAAGTTTGATCTGAAACTCTGAAAACGAGTTCACTCTACATTATTTAGATCACGTTTTGACGCTTTTATGTTGCACAGCTTGCTTCCAATAAACCAATGAACCATGTCGAAGTTTTGTACAGAAACCGTGTTTATCAGGCAGATGAAAACACAAAAGTTTCAGATAAAGTATGTAGGCCTTGTGCTTTTGATGGCTAGCACAACATCCTATGGCAAGGTCTTCACCCAATCAGTGGTTTTTGGATGCGTTAATGCACCCTCATCTTTCTCCAGGGAGTTGATGGTGAAATCAAACATTGTGTGGAGGCCAAAAACAAACTGTTATTATCATATGGAATAATGCAGTCTGCATAATGCATGAACGCCTATGGGTGTGCACTTATTAGTGTGTCATGTTATTGTATTACTCGTGAGAGACTCGTAATAAGTTCAAAATTACATAAATAGGGCACACTCGTGTTCATATTGAACTGTGTGTACTTTTTTGTGGAACCATCAAATTATACAGTTATGGTAATGATTTAACACTCTACTCAAAGAAGTGCATATATTGTTATTATTTACAATAGATCATAGATTTGCATTACATTAATGCCATTAGTACACACAAATAATTATGCATTTGAACATGTTCATTACTGAGTCCGTAATGTATCTGTGAACAAACACTAGAAGTAATGCTTCAAGAATGAAGCTTGTCACTTTTTGATGTCAAAAAAAGGTTTTGAAATCTGGTTTCATTGATGTGCCTAATCTGCAATTAGTCATGTTATGTTTTTACCAACATGACCGAAAACTTAAAAAGCTGTGTTTAAATGTACACAATGTGACATGCTTCAGTCTTTCATTGTGTGCTTGGCATAAGGAGGAATTTTAGTGTTGTGTTTAGTTTGTTGTACCTGCAGAGTTTGGTTATGTGTCCATTCAGTCCCTTGTGCTGTTTTATGCCATGTGCCCTTTTGGTGCAGAGGCAGTGAAAGCTATCTCAGAGGTCGCCCAGCGGATCCAGGACAACGCCCGCAGCCATGAGAACCACCTGCAGCTGCGCAGAGTCCAGAAACAGCTGAAGGGCCGAAAGACCAGAATCCTGACTCCAGGTTAGAGACTGTGATCTTCCATTCTTTTTATCTCCCAGAGCTCCATGGAGAGCCAGAGAGTTAAGCGGATGAAGGAGGTCAGGTGGAAGAGTGTGGAAAAGTAGTCTTGTTTAAAAGAGACCCAGCTGTTTGCCCATAATCAATAAAGGTGGGTTTGTTTTTGCCAGGCACAATCGTAGTCTCCAATGAGAGAATTAACTGAATTTATCGACAAGTTCTCGCCACTAATTGGTAATGGAAGGAAAGTATGCCTTAAGTCAGTTCTTTCCATCTTTCTTTTCTTTTGCTACTTGTGGAGTGGAGGTCCTTTCTTCCTTCTTATTTATCCCAAGGGAGAATGCCCACGTGTGAAACAAAAGAGAAGGAGATGGAGAAGGAAGAGAGAGAGAGAGAGAGAAAAAAGACAGAGAGGGCCTTGTCGTGAATGCCTTGGCCTGCCAATCTCCCCCAGGACCAATTAGTGCCTCTCCTCATCTTGTGGGCCGGCAGATAAAAAGGAAGCTGGGAGAAAGGGAGCGAGAGAGAGTGTGTGTGTGCACAAAGGTGGTTGGAAGGCTGCGATGAATACCCAACGAGCACTGGGCTCATTTCACACAGCGCCGGATGTAGGAAGAGTGTTAAAAAAAAAGGTTTTTTCCAGGACTCTAGAATTCTACCGAGGTCCTTTCTCTTGTCCAGTAAGGCTTCTTTTCTTCCACTTGCACTTTTTCTGACTTCAGAAGGCCGAACCAAACCAGGCCATCCCAGCTTATCTCACCCAACCCCTCCGTTTCCTCAAATGTGCCCTAACGAAAGTGATGCTTGACAGATGAGAGGCTTCGGAGCCCCTGAACAATATTAAGTGGCCGGCTTAGAGATAAGGGCAGTGTAATTCTCAGACGTAAAGCTTGAATCAATGGGACATTGATACAGCAGACAGACTGTCTGTTTCCTTGGAGTCCTCGGCAGGACGTTGCCGCCACCACAGCTTTCCAAGGGCCAAGCCGAAACTCTTTGGCCTACAGAGCGTAATAGAAAGGCGAAGAATGAAAGATGAGACCGTTCCATGCCCTTAGGATGGCACTACAACCCCCCCCCCCCCCCCCCCAAGAGGGGAAAAAAAAGAAATTTAA